TTCCAAACGTCGGGCAGTTAAAAATAATTTTCAAACAAGTTTAACTAAGATATAGCGCGTTTTAAACCGTTAAAATGTTTTATTTAAACGTATTAAAACGTTTCGAAAATGCGTTAGATTGAAAACATTAAATTTTTAATAGAATGAAGGCACTAAAATTTAAAAATGGCGAGAGGTGCATGTATCAATAAGTTGAAAAAATTAAGGGAGACGGTATTGGTAGAGAAACGGAGCTGCGTTTTTTTTTTTTTATAAGTTGAGTTAAATACATATGTTAGGTTAAATTTTAAATCAATAAGAAAGTGTCGTTTTCAGGAAAAATCTTTTCCTGAAAACGATCAATGTAAGAAAACCTTCCTATACAATGATCCGAATTAAAATGAAAGTATTTCAAAAGACGTTAAAACTTAAAAACAATTAACACGTTTTGTAGACGAGTTTGTTAGCAATTTCAACGTGAATACAAAGTCGAGGATATTTCCATCTTCTAAAAGGGCCCGAAGTTTGAGGGATTTACAAGATTGCCTTGTTTGCTCTACTTCAGCTATTGAGGGCGTAACAAATAAATTGTTGCAAAAATTCACTGATAAATTCTACTTCTTCAGCCTGAGTTTTGTAATCATTGTTCAACGGTTATAACGAACATCTATATACTTTATAAACAAACACAAGTCTAATAAGTATTCAAAAATACATTTTTAAATTCAAAATACGTGAACGTCAAGATCGTAGAAATTATGTCGGAATTTTTAATCCCTGAATTCAACTGGTATTTTAATATGTTGGTTCCAAATTCCAATATTGAAATTTTCATATAGAAGCGAAGGTACGCCAGAAATAAAATATATTGTGGGTATACCGTATATTCATACTTTCACATTGTCGTGTTAGCCCTGGTTATCAGTACCATTAAAAGTATTTAGTTTTATATAATATAGTTAAATAGAGAATGCTTTTTTGTCGTCCTCTAAGGTTATCGAAGCCAACCAGAGTTTTGATCGAATGAAAGTACATAACCACGTCTCAAGGACAAAAATTGGTGATTTAAAAAAAGTAAAACTCAACATCATCATCACTTTCATTAATATATGTGCCTCGTGTGAAATCCCGCTTCCCCTCGTGGGCGAACACATTTCTATGTCCGTTTTACTAATCGGTTTTATTTACAGGCAAGTAGTTGATCAGACTTCTATGCCCTGGCCCGAACGAAACAATTTACTGTTTCACCGGAATTCGAACGCAGGTCCTTTCACGCTTAACGCAATGCTAGGCAACACGTATATCCATTTAAATGCAGAGGCGGAGAGATGTGTGTCTCCTAGGCTGGCTTTATTTAATTTAACATTATTTCTAATAAACAGTAGTCAAGTTATTTGACTTAAATAAAAAAATCTACTACTGCATTTCTAATGCTTAATAAAACACGGCGAAAATTGAATATGTCATCCGTGCCACCTGCAAAGAAACAATTTATTTTTCAGTTCAAAACATTTCATTCCATGCAGAATGTGTTTTCTCCTTTAAAGTATTCAAAGTTTGCGGTGAGATGCAAGTGGAACTAAACTTTTAAAACTTATGAACTCTAATATGTTATATCACTTTTCTCTCAAGCATATTTTTCTTGCGTTATATGAACAGGAAAAGTTAGTTGGGAGTGTATTTGAGACTTGATAATTACTCCAACAAATTAACTCAGGAAAATACAAATAAACGTGTAAACTTTTTAAGAACATTCTCAAAAAGAAAGCTTTTTTTATTACGATTATAATTTACAATAAAAACTAACCGATACAAATGTAGCGTACGACAGATCTTGAACTCCAAATGCTTTGAAAATAAGCGGTTTTCTCGCCTGTGCACATCCGATCAGTACTAATTTTCGAATATTATGAGAACCATCCATATCACACATATACCAGCCGGAATAAAACATTGCGTTCGAAAGTAACGACGCCTGAAAAAGAACTCGGTAATGTCATAAACATAACTCTCTTCCCTGCAGGATAGTTTTTCAAGGTGGCTATGTAATTTGATGCATTCTTCTTCAGTCCACTATTTGAAGAGTGCATTTTTGTATTTGTATCCGGTTCTAGTTGAGATGGTTTACAATCAGAAATGTTATTTCAGCGAAGCTCTGTTTATACTCGTGAGAATTCGCATTGTATTCGCATAGAAATGGTTTTTTGAAATTATAAAGTTTTTTTTACATTTTACATGACATTCTTGTAAAAACGAATTAAGTTAACCTGTGAATAGAATAGTAGATCATCTCCTTTTACAGTGTAGTACATCTATGTAAACAAATTGTAAAAAAATAAATATCACAGAAATAAAAAATCTCTCTCTAAGCTATTAATTTTTGTACATTAATCGGGGAGACTTCATTATGTTTACCCGAATTTCGACCCGCGTTTAAAACATTGCAAGGCAGCGCGTTAAAAGCAAACTACCGAGAATTCTACTTTCATTTATCGTAATATGTTAGTTATTAAAAACTTTAATATTTTTCATATGCTGTCTATAGTTTACGCGAGTAGTACACATTTAAATAAAACACTTTAACGGTTTAAAACGCGATATATTAGTTAAACTTATTTGAAGATGATTTTTAACTTCGTTCCCCGTGACCACGGCCGCTGCAAAGCATCCGAAACGTCGGGCCGAAGTTAAAAATCGTTTTCAAATAAGTTTAACTAATATATCCGTTTTAGACCGTGAGTGTTTTATTTAAAATTTGTAATATGTTATTGCAAATGATGGCACTTTAAAAATATATCTTTTTAACTGGCCAGGACATGAATCGACTATCATATGTTCTATGCTGTGCGAAACTACAATGTTTAACAACTTAAATAATTTTCACATGTGTCACCTGCCGTGCCCGAGTCGTATTTTTTTTTTTCAATTTATAATCGATTTTTAATTTATATTAGCAATTAGTGACGTAAACTAAATGATGTAACAATATCGATACCACCTGATAAGTAATTTCTCCTGCGTTCCAAAGGTTTAGAGCGAGCAAAATGAACAGAGAACCCACAAATGTGTACGTCATGAAAGCATTCGTTAAATCCACTTTCGGTGAAAGCTGAAACCAATAGTTTTACTGTGAAATAAAATACGTTACAATGTAGGTATATAAAAAGTATTGAACGATCTAAAAATATTATTTTTTAGGCCCGATAGAAGTATTGGGCCTAAATTATATTAATACATTTTCATCAAACGTATTCTTAAGTTTGACTAATAACAATTTATCTTTAAATATAGAACCATTTATATTTCAAAGTTTAAAAAAAGGTTAAAACCATTTATCCTCGTCTTCCTTAATTTAATGGCTTTTCTATATTATTATTGCATATATATATTTTTCCATATTGCCCTAACTATTGGTAATTGTGTGTTACTGACAATAATTTATTATCTCTATCTTCTATCTCTGAAGAGTTTGCTAGGTAACTTGATGTTAACCCAGATAAGTCAAGGCACGCAATCAGTGCCGCCATTAAAGAAACTAGAAACTTCTCAACTCTTTCTACTTACCGCTAAACGAAGCAAAAGCAAGACCGCTACAGCTGAACTTTCGCAAACTTGCAATGACATTATAATGCCGAACACACGTTGAATTTCTTCACTGAGGCTAAATACAGTAAAATTAGTATTGATTACAATAGAGTACGCTTCTTTCCTTCTTTATTATGTTATGTTCATAATTATGTAGAGTCCCTAGGGCACAACACTAGGGCAAGCCTGTGTTGAGCCTGTTGTATGAATTACTTATAGACATAATTTTCACATGCCTTCTGTAAATATTATTTCATTTATCAGTTGTAGTGGACACTGCGAGCGTGCTAAAAATAAAATTCAGTTTCCCCCTGTATAACATGGGATGAACACATTTATGTGTCTGTTTTACTGGTTAATTATATTTACAGGCCAGGCGTTAGTAAAACATCTGTCTCTTGCCTATCAGAAACGGTTTATTGTGAGGACGTTCTCACACTAATTATATCGCTTATCATAATTTATATTATGTACATATATGAATCACAGAAATACAAAACTATAATAGAAATATCTTCGATTATTGGTTTATATTGGAACCCTAATAAGTTACTAACTTGCAAATGAGAGTAAATTACAACTTTAATTGTGTAAAACAATACCCACCTACTTTTATTTCTATATGTTAAACGTACGACATATAATGACACAGTCTATTGGAAAAAAGAATCGATAAAAGTGATGAAGAAGAAATGCAATAACCTGCTACAAAGGACCGTTGAAACGGATATAAATTGTTTGCAACGATTCGAGAGCACTAAATAAGTTCGTATTATGAAGAATCGGGTCGAAGTGCTTTGATTTGAGCGAGTCTAAAAAGCTGGTCACATTAATAAAAACACTTCAACACTTAAAACACGAAATATGGTCTTCTCGTTATATGCATTCTTTAACTTAACTACTGTCTCTAGTTTACGCTAGTAGTACACATTTAAATTAAACACTTGAACCGTTTAAAACGCGATATATTTTAGTTAAATTTGTTTACAAATTATTTTTGTATTAACTACGATCAACGCTTACGTTGCTTCGCAGCACCCATGTTCACGGGTCGGGCAAGTTTAACAAGCAAATTTATATTTCGCGTTATAAACCGTTAAAGTGTCTTATTTAAACTCGTTAACCTATTATTAATTTATAATACAGCCCGATGATTCAGATGGTTTGCAAATGCCGTGTTCGCCGGGTGGACCGTTGTATAAGTTAACTAATATATTTCGAATTTTCAACCGGTAAAAGTGTTTCATTTAAAAGCAATGAATTTACTATGTTATTACCTACATACGCAATAATTAAAAAAAATAACTGCTAAACTATATTGAATTTTTTCAGTAAAATTGGGTCAGTATTTTAAACGCTACAGTGGAGCGTACATAGACAGGCAGAACTATTATTTTTCTCCTTCCCGCTGTAACAAGTAATAATATCTATACGTACTACAATAGTTTTTGGTGAATAACGATCCCTTCCAAGAAACCCTTCTGTAGGATTTCAGTTGCTTGTCGTCTGTCCCTTTTAATATTTCTCTGGAATTCCTCTCGAATCGTTTCATAATGTTGGCACAATGTAATGAATTTGTACGCCATTATAATCAGGTGTATGATAGGCATACAATCCGCAGACATCATCGGAAGCATCATATAAAGCCATGTGATGTAAAAGAATGTTCGTATGACTGTCGCTATTATAGATGTGTCTTCAAAATACGGAAAATATGTTACCACCGTGTAGAAGGGTGTTCCTGTAAATAATGAATGACAAAATAATGTTTACAATAAATTTAAAGGCTGGGTTGTATTAATATGTCCGACACCATAATTATCATAACATATCGTTCTCAATTAAAATAAAAACTATTTTTTACGATAGAAAAGGACAGAACATGCATAGGATCGACTTGATGGTAGATAAAATACTAAAATATAACATCTAAAGATGATGCGCTATCGACCTATTTTTTAATTTGGGAAAGTCAACAGACTGAAACGGAAACACGATTAAACTGGACGGCTGTATATCTGTGGCTCGTTACCCGGACGGATTTATAATGTTATATAGTCCGACTCCCCATTTAGTATCAAGTATTTGCAGGCGAAGTCCAACGTGTTTCAGAGAATTTTTACACTCTTTGAAAAATTTAGGACCCGGGGGAGACGACACCATGACCCATTGATAATTAGCCATACCTACATTGCTATCATTATACCAACAGGCTCGTCAAAAAGAGCCTTTCCATATTAAAATTTACAACAATACTAATTATTACAACTAATAATAGTCAACTTTTCGCTCCATTATATAATATGACTCTATATTATAAACCTTTAATCAGATAAATGCTCTCAAAATTCTTTACTCCTTACAGCCGATTAGTTTAAGTGAACACAGCTACGTTATCAAGGACCCTTTTAAGAGCTCGCACATTATTCAGCTTTAAATTCGTGTATTCATAAAATCGCATGAATAAAATATGATATTTTTGCAATAAAAATGTAAATTCACTTACCTTCAGTGATTGCCCTCCTCAAGCTCTCGATCCCGTAGGCCGCTAACGACAAATAAACACTCACAACATAAAGCGTAATTCCGTACTTTACTTTCCGGTATTGTTCTTTCATAACGCGTTCCTCTTCAATGTTTTCCATCACGGTTGCGATTTCATAGTTCAATTTCCTTATAGAATTCTTGTGGTATAACAGAAGGAACATTTTAGCGAGGACGATGTTATGAATAGCCGCGAACATGACGGCTGAATTCTTTTCCACTTCAGGAAATTTTCCAAACGCTGCAGCGCAGTTTTCGAGTAAAATCATTGTTATGTACACTGAATACGATAGCACTGTATAAGATTTGTAGATAAATGATTCCTCGTAAGTGGTTTTGTCGTAATGAAAATTACCAGAACCGGCGTAGTATACGTATTTGCAAAAAGCTTTTAACAAGTTCTTTGTGTTGACAGACATTTTTTTAAGTTAAGTTTAACAGCTTATTCTTAGAGCACCAGCACGGAACGTTGACGATACCGGTTCAAGTCCTGCACCAGTCAAATTAAAAAAAATTTTTCGATTTTTAAACCATATTCTTGTTACAAAGCCATAAGTATTAAGATCAATGTTGAATGTCTGTTAAAAAAGTAACTTATATCTAAGGACAATTTTCCAAACTTTTAGAAACTATTTTCATAATAACACATTTAGCTTCTTATTAAGTGTAATAATTGGATCTAATTGAGTCGTTATAACAAAACTGGCAATTATGACTAATAAACTTTTAATAGCTACATACCTAATGAGAGCTTTTAATATAAACTTACGTGCATGTCTGTGGTTCATTAACAACGTATTCAATGCAAAGGACATTTTGTCGCGAATTATTAATTAATAATACAATATGATATGCGTGGCAATTAAAATGTTACATTTCACATCTATAATAATATAAAGCTGAATAGTTTGTTTATTAGTGAAAAGTTCTTATCACATGAAGTACTGGTTCCAATTAAAAAATATAATTATATATATATATATTTTTTTTTTGTGTAAGATAGGTAGACCCTCTAAAATCAACGAAAGGAGCGAAAAAACTGTTGAAAATGTGAAAAAAAACAAGGAAAGTTATTCACCTTTGAAAGCTTCCGTTGTGTGTGCTGCAAAAACGGATTAAGAGAAAAAAAAATATATGAAAAGTATGATTTCTGTTTAAATGATCGAAAAAACATCCGCAACAGTATATATGTCTATGTTTCAAGATTCGCATGAACCGTTTTTTAGTAATCACATTTGGTTAAAATTATGCATTTTTACCAATTATTTCATAGACTTGTATCAACATTATAATCTATACTAATATATAAAGCTGAAGAGTTTGTTTGTTTGTTTGAACGTGCTAATCTCAGGAACTACGGGTTCAATTTTTTGTATTGTGTTGGTTAGAAACATCTAACTAATGTAGCTTTAAAACATCGCGCTGTGACTAATAGAAGTGAAGATACAGCGGGAAATGTGAACAAAACGGGGGAAATTTTTCAATTGGGGGTTTCAGATGTGTACGTTGCGAAAACGGTTAAAACACCCAAAAATATATATGAAAGAATGATTCCTCTTTAAATTATCTTAAAAAAAGGCCATGATGCTATATGTCTATCTTTTAAGATTAATTTGCAAGAACGACATAAAGGGACGCGACGAACATCGTGGGTAACAGCTGGATGCCCAAAGTAACTTTTTACTGGTATTTTGCAAATAACAAAGAAACGTGTTCCGAATCAGCTAGTCTTTAATAATTACCTATTTACTTCCATCAAATAGGAACCCGGCGAAGTATCATTAAGTTTCGTGTATTATTTTTAGTCATAACACCTGGACATTCATTGTTATTTGTAATTACAACTTGGCACTGTACGGAGAGACCGGAATATTAGGTCTAGAGTTCGAATCCTGGAACGAACGAAAATTTCATTCGTAATTTAGATCACTTTAATCCCAAATTTCTGGGATCTGGAGTTTGAACTAAGGCATTTTTTTAGTTATCTTCGAAAATATTTGAAAGATACTCAATTATTTTTAAACGGTGCTATTGAAAACCCGATCAGTAAAGCGACTGAGAAAATTATTCCTTATTTCTGTTTTCCGGATTTTCCAATTTTTATTGTGGTAATACTTTTCCGGGTATTCAAGCTATGAAACCGCGTTGTGAAATTGCAAATAATTCGGTTCAATGATTCTTTAACCGACTGTGCACTTAAAATGGGTTTAAGTGTTCTAATTATTCGTAAAATCTATTGTATTATACCTAAACATATCATAAAATAAGTAAAGGGAATTTCGAAGAGGATAATAACATTTTTAGGCATACATATTTTGACATATTTTGGAATTGAAACACAAAACCTTTCAACGCAACGCTTTGGTCGTATGAAAAGTTCGAAAACACGAGGGTATGTTTTTTCGATGTCGACAAGGGACTTTAATTTTTAGCGATTTCTAATTTTTAGACCAAATAGATTAACATTGTATAATCGTAGATAATTCAAATATTTTGCAATATTACTTAGTCAAGGAACACATAGTACAAGAAAGGTAGAAAATATAAATGACATAAAATAGATTTTTGTTTGTATTAAAAATCTACACTTATCCTCAATATTGAGACCGTCCAATGTCGTTATAGTAGGTTAATTGTAAAATAATAATAAAACCCATTGATTATAATCGCGGCTATTATTTTGATTAACTAAGCTATTTCAGCTTAACATAAATCAAGGCAGCACATTCACAACCAAGTTCAATTTAATACATGACTTAAGCTATAAATTAAGACACCAGCCTAATATGTCACTATGCCCAAAATAATGGGGGATAATTTAGCTACAGAGCCTACGGGGTTAATTGAAAAGTACATCTTATTTATAATAAAGATAAAATAGCTTTGCTATACAATGCTAGTATCGAACGATTTACATATGACTAGCGACTCGCCCCGCCTTCGCTCGTGTGCAATACTGATACTAAATACACTACAGAAAAACTGTGAACGTTGTATATAAAAACCTTTCTCTTAAATCACTCAATCTGTTAAAAAACGCATCAAAATCCGTAGCGTAGTTTTAAAGATTCAAGAGCACATAGGGACAGAAAAAGCGGCTTTATTTTATACTATGTTATTGTTATGCATAGTTATTAAAGAATCCAGATTATGCATTCGAACGACAATATACTTCTACCTTCTACTCTTCTATGTTCATGACCAGCTGCCATGTTCAGCTGTTAAGTTTAATCGCGTTTCTGTTTCAGTCTGTGAAATACCGAAAATAGGGCGACAGCGCACTTTATTTAGATGTTATATCGCTGGGGTGTTTCAACGACCTATTAAGTGTGTTTTACGAAAGGCGATTGAACAGTCCTGTTTTTCGTTATTACGTATTCGGCTTATCTAATATATAAAATTCTCAAATGAATTGCAACAGGCATAGGAAAGGTTAAAAAGTGTAAAAGATTTTAAACGCCGCTATTGTCTGTAATAGGATACCTAATTCCAAACAATTGAGAGATTTATTTACTCCACGTTAAACCGTAAAAGGTGAGCTCGGTAGGCGTACAAAGACCTTTCTCCATACCTACGATAATATATCAATGTGAAAGTCCCTACGGATAGAAGGTTGGATCACGTTTACTCCCGAATTCGAATTGTTTTCCGCCGAAACCGAGGTACTTATCTCCCGAAAGTTCATATCTCACTTTTATTGGACTACTTCTATTTCCACGTAGGCACATGTACCCGTCTGTTAGTTTTGCGGCGAAAACATCTGGCCTTTCCTACCAAATGGACGAGATTGTTTTATATACTTTATTTTCAATTATACCCTATACACATATCTTATCACATGATAGTGTCAAAGAAAAAATATGCTTCTCAGTAAAACAAAAGAATAAAGAAACAGGTATAAGAAAATAAAGAAACAATTAAATAAAACACTTTAACGATTTAAAACGCGATATATTTTAGTTAAACTTGTTTAAAAAATATTTTTAATTACGGCCGTGGTCACGGTGAGACTGCTGCAAAGCACCCGGAACGTCGAGCCGTAGTAAAAAAAAATCAACAAGTTTAACTAATATATAACACGTTTTAAACCGTTAAAGTGTTTTATTTAAATGTGAACTACTCGCGTAAACTACAGACAGTAAATAAAGAAACAATTTAACTATACATCGATATTGATAGCAGTAATGTTGTATTTTCTGACGTGTAAGAATTAAAGTTAAATAATTTTTCACGATATATAGCTTAAGGAAAATTTGTGTTATTAATTTTGAAGCCTAGCGTAAAATTTGAGGATCTGTTTGTCTTGAAATACATCATATCACTTTGATCCTTCGAAGACGTGTCATTGGCAATCTAGCTTAACATTAAAATTCAGTTTAGGTCTAATAATGTTGTATCATTTAGTTACAGTCGTGTGTTAAAAATAACACTCCAGCGTTACTATAAATTCAATGAGAACTAGAACTATAAATAAAAGATGTAAGATTCGCTTTAAAGGAAACTTGAAGACATTTGCTTGTCAACACCTCGAGAAACTGGGAAAAGCCATTTTAAAGTTAAATTAGTTTAAGTTTGTACGTTTCGAATGTCGCTACTTTTCCTATAAGGACGTCAATTTTTTTATGAATCTGTGGATGTACTTAACTCTGAAAATTACCCTACTTTATATGGGGGGAGGTGGCCGGGACATAACGACTCGAATTTTGTTATATTTAAGCTATGACATGTAACGTAAAAATGGCAATATTTTGTATTTGCAAATAATATACGATTAAGTATTCCTATTTCAAACTCCTAATGTTCCACAATTTTTTATATAAATTATGGATAGAAATAAACAGATGAATCTGGTGGGACTCGAACCTACGCCCACAACGATTCATGCTGAAAAAGAAGCAGATGATATTTTATTTCATACACATAGTACGTTTTAAATTTTTATCTTCCAAAATGAATAAATACTTAGTATGTAATTACAATGAATTAGGGTAAACAGATAATTGTTAAAATAATGCGTTATGTATGTTTCTCAAGGTCACACATCGTAACGCATTTTCGTTAAGTATTTCAATAATTCGTAGAAAGTATATCTACTAAAGGATTTCTGATATTAATCTCTTAATACCTCTCGATAACAACAGTTTTTATTCTCGCGCTTGCAGTTTCATCAAAGCGTTCGCGACAGAATCGGGCCAGTGGCAAAATACACTGGGCATATAAAGTAGAATAAACTATGTTCGATATTATTCGCAGAGAAAATTAAGGCCAGGTACGCTATATTAACCGCAATTCTGTTTATTTACTAAATTATCAATACACAATTATCGTTTTCTAGTGATGTGTTAATTACATTGTTACGACGGGTTCGTTGGTCTATTGATAGCAATGTATGGCAAAAAACCCCCAAAAAAAGGCCATGCTTGACTGTCCCCTTCATTGCATTTAAGACACAATAATTATTTTTGAGTAATAAAATAAAGTAGTAAGTTTAAACCTATTGACATTCCATCGCTGACCTCCCCATTACGAGCTGGTGAGCTTTGACTAGCTGTCGGAAGGACGCCGGTGAAGACTCCAACTTCCAATCTTCGAGCTGGTATTACAATTTGAAATACCGTATATTTCCTTATCATCTATAGTCGAGAAAACTAATTACTTGTGGCTAGACCAATAAAATATTTCTATTAGTGAAATAATAATTGTTTATTTAAAATGTTTATTTCTATCATAATGTTGTTTTTAAAGTCGCATAGTAGGCGTTTCGAAATCTTTTATTTTACGAATTCTTACGGCGCTGCATTATTTTCTCTGGAGATTACAAGAACTGGGGCGTGATTAAAATTTTATACTTACGATGCTAAAAATACGACTTTTAATAAGTCTCTGAAAATATTCCTTAATGGAAAAATGTAACATGCTTATATCAATTTTATGACATGCCTAGAAGTTGAATATTGCTTATTTCAAGTATTTAATATACTCTTTATAACAGACAATTTAACATATACAAAAGACTATGCTAGTAATAAAAAATAACATAATAGACACACGATTGTGTAAGTGTGTATGATTGTTTCAGTCAGAGTTGAAGAAGTGAAGGTTTATTATAACGGAAACTGCAGTGTAAAGCATTGAAGATTCTAAATATTACAAAGAGTCTCAAGTTCAAATCCCACCAGTGTCATATTTTTTTTATCTAAAATTAATTTTGGAGTAGTCTATCTCATTTTTTTTTCTTACGTGAAAGTTTTATCTTTTATATTAATATCGTAAATATTTAACTCCATAAACCACTAAGTCGTCAAGAATTCGGGTACAAAGCAAATATTAAAAGTTGAGCTACCAAAATGTTATGAAAGCACTTTGTTACCCTCCTCAAAACACGTTAAAAATTCCAACAGGCTGTTACGTATTTCTGTTTTACGAGCTTAACTCACGGCTATTACCCCCGAAGTAGGGATTAGAGATCATTCAATAATAACTTAATTATGTACTTCGTGAGCTGTGTTGAGACTCATTTGAAAGTTATATCGATATAAACTTTCTATTTTATTAACAAACAATACGTATTAGCTTTGTTTTAAAACGTCTTAGTAATAATCCGCGCCGCTGTCTTTTAGAGTAGTACAAGATATAAAATTCCTTTTTGGAAAGCTAGTTCCATCATACGGTTTAGATATAATTTCTTAGTTAGACTAAATTATTAGTCTATAATATTAGGCTGTAAATTAAACATATATTATGTATATAAATGGTATATAATATATTTACGCCCAAATATATTAAAGTCTCATGTTTCATTAATTAATTGCGTTAAACCGATAAAATCCTCGTACAATACCTCACTAATAGATTTCATACATATAACAAAATAAAGATAAACACTTTCATACCTTGTAATATAACATTATTTATATAACTTTTGTACTCGATCTTCAGTAAGACACTATTTAGCACGTAACATTTGGCAAACTAGAGATACAAACGTTGCTATGAAAATGTGATTTAACGAGGGAGCGATCTATTCTCTCGCCATAAAACCCACGAGACTCGTTGCAAACAAACGCGAACTTTATCAGAATGCCCGTGTTGTAGTCAAGAATGCCCTAATCGGCCATTCGGTAGCTTTAAGCCCCTATTTATTATCGTAACTAGTTGAGCACTATCGCTTTCGGAGTCAGAGGATGTTCGCGTTTCTTACTAACCATTTGTCTGTACTTCGTACCGTACTTTCCCATTTATACAGCTAATGAAAGGAACGGAAACTACTCAACTAATTGTGAACCGAGCGATACACTAGTCTATACTAATATATCAAGCTGATGAGTTTGTTTGTTTGAACGCGCTAGCCTCAGGAACTACTGGTTCAAATTGAAAAATGATTTTTGTATCGCTTAAGGCATTTTTCGAGGAAAGCTTTAGGCTATAAACGTCACACTGTAACTAAAAGGAGCGAGGAAACAGCGCGAAATGCGATAAAAAAAAAGAAAAAATATTATTATACTATGAAATGATGACTTTTCTTTCAATGATCTAAAGAAGTGTCCACGACAATATATGTCTTATATCTTTTAAGGTTAACTCGCAAGAAAGGCGGGAAGCGACCGACGCGCGACGTTAAATTATAAAAATGAAGCGGAGGAATGCAAAAACAAATTTGGACGCCTAAAGTAACTATTCTTCGCGGACGAAGTCGCTGACACAGCAATCGTGAACAAAATCTGTAACAAATGTTTCAGCAAAAGGTATTATAACTATATTATAAACGACGCAATCCACGGCACAAATGTAATTAATTTCCAATCAGTATTTTTCGTTTTTGTAAATATCGTAATGTTATCAAAAAATCTTTATTCACAACGAAATTGTATTTACAACCTTTGTTAGGCTATTGTAGGAATAGGAAAAGTATGGAGATGAATTATTACATATAAAAAATATAAAAGGATTGAAAACATTAATATTTTCACATGTTATTGCACATGAAGGCACTATGCAATTTAAAAATCGAAAATAAATTGAAAAAAAATTTCGACTCGGGCAGGACTTGAACCGGCATCGTCAGCGTTCCGTGCTGTTGCTCTACCAATTGAGCTACCGAGTCCTACACCTCATCGTCGAATATAAAAGGATTGTTCACTGCTCTAGATAATTTCTTAATCACCTTAAAGAACATCGTTTTTATAGTTTACTCTCGATATTTTCATATACATATATGTGCTTGATAGTTTAAATGTATGGCTAATTATCGACGACGCGTGGGTTCTATCTCCACCAGATCTAACATTTACCTAATTCTGAAACATCTGAAATTCTTTTGATAATTCATCTTTAAAAATCTAGATATTAAAATGGTGGTAGGAATATCGAAATTCGGTCCTGGTTCCGTCGTCGTCTCTAGCAGTATAGTGTAATCTCGTTTCAATTTCAGTCTGTTTTATTCTGAATAATCAAAGCCAACATAAGTCGGGAGCGCATCTTGTTTAAATGTTATATACTTTGTTGTTAATATACCTTACATCGAATGGGCCTCATGCTTGTCTGTTTATCCTAACAAAATCATATTTAGGAAACCTATAAGAATCCACAAACAAATTGTGTACGTAAAAAAGTAACTAGAAACTCTATGCCATTCTGTATCGATAAATAATATTTGGAATAAGCTAACAAAATGTACTTTACCAGAGGATTCAACTAGACACACGTATATGTCATCTTTGTATGTGTATCCTGAAATGGTCACTTTTAAAAGAAATGCGCCGGCATCCAAGAGACACGTTCGTAATTGTGGGAGAAAAAGAGTGATTAGATGTGTAAAAAACGGGTTGAAAAATGCTACGACTCATGGCTTACCGTATATAGCTAATGATCGGATTCATCTATTTGAGAGGTACGATTGAAATTATAATACATGCGTGTCTTATCGCATCTTAGTCGCATCAACTTGAGACCGACCGACAAATTTGTCTGCCTTAAGCCCCAGTTAGGGAAAATAGACATAATATTCTACAGGTACTATAATAGTAAATTTAACCTAGGCTATACCGAATACAGAATTTCCGGTCTATGATTTTAGCTCCTAAACTTAAGTAGATGTTTTCATCGTATTAAATTGAATATATTGCGATTCAAAAAAGAATATTTTTGATTACCTTGCCAATTAGAAATATCTCGTGACAGAAAGGCGACCACATCGGGAATAAAATCAAAAAAATCGTGAACAATCCCTCATTATTAAAACGTATGTAGTGGGCGATTCGAAATCTTTCTTAAATATGCCTACATTTGAAATTCTCTAATAACATGAACATACACGATATTTAATATACGGGTAAGTTGAACGAGTTATGCATAATGTATCGAACACAATACACAAAACTAAAAATCAATACCTATTTTTTATATCTTATATTTATTACTTTGTAAACATAAAAAGTATCGCGCAAGCGGTGCATTTATAAACGGATTAAGATCCAATGACGTCAGAGGGAGCACAGTAGCTCAATTTGTGGAGCAAATTGGCTTAAATTCATACCAATCAATTGTTAGATTTCAAAATTCTTTTTAAAACCCCTGACTTTAAAATACTAACTCTCAGAAAGAAAGTGCTCTGCAACAACTACACTCTTTATAAGTGAATAATATTAACAATTTGTTTTAGAATATTTTGGCTGGTGAATTTTTCTGTAGCATTAATTATAATATGCTTACTTCTAACTACTCAGTTTTTGAGATTCATGGTAAGTCATTTCGTCGTGCCTATATCTTCGTGCATAATTTATTAGTATTATAGTTGATAATTATTTATTTATTACATAATGTTTATACATACTATATTCGTCCCGTTGACACGTCACACGTCAACAGGTTATCTGAGTATAGCACCTTGTATAGTACGCTACTGAAAGAGATGCCTCTTTTTGCCATCTAAAATCAACTAAACCATAGCTAATTCTAAGACTCTTCATATGGAAAATGTATAATGGCAAATAAATACTGTTTTTTTTATAATTTTTAGGATACCCCAACAGTTATAAGTGTGGATATGGATTACTTTGATTGGAATATATCTTATCCAGCTATAACTCTTTGTCCACTTTATAAAACAAACGTAACTGTGTTTAAAGAAATTGTCAGGTATATTTGTCACTATTATTATTCTACTTATATACTAAAGTGTGTAAAATTATTGGCTAAATGGTTAAACCATGTTACGTAGTATTGCATCTTGCACAGGATGTCGTTGGTTTGAATCCCAAAAAAATATTAGCTTCGGTTGGAGACAGAAGCTTGTAAATGTAATCCTTTTTGGTGTCTACTTTATAAACGGGAAAAGGGATTTCACTTCCTTATATTTTTATTACACATCTTATTAAATATACTATGGTACTAGCATTTTTTCCGTGTAATATCACGTTCATTTGAATAAAATGTTTGGTGTATGTTCATAACACTTCCAGAGATAAATTCAATGAAACTGGTCTTAAAGTTGACAAGTATTTATGGGCAATAACACAAGCAAACTTCGAAACCCTACATTATGTCGTTTTGGACGTTCCGGAAGAATTGAGATCGGTAGGTTATGCGTAACGTTAACTGTAGGTTTGTTTTTTTACAGCAAACGATTTAGACAAAATTATATGTATAAGATACTTAGGTATATTGGTGCTAAGATAGTATTTTTTTTCTTATATTTTTCAAGGTGTTCCATCCAAACGAATATGCAAATATTGCAGAGTCAATGTTTCAAAAATTTGGAGGTAACGTCAGCACGAAAACGAATCATAACGTAACTATAGTATCAGCTATGACGGAACTGGGAATGTGTCATGTTTTAAATTCCAATGTTGCCGTTTTTGATGACCCAAGGTAACGAGTACAAGGAATGTGTTAAATTACATTAGGAAATTTAATCTTCAATATAGATGACTTAGGCCAACCAACTTATTTTTATTTTTATTTACTTAGTACATCATTTGCATATATACTAGATAATATATCGCGTCACACATCAACAATCCTAGAATCCACCTGAAAATCAGTACCACGTTTTGCACTACTTTGCTGATGCCCTTTTTGCCATCTGAAACCGATGGAACCTTCGCTCACATCGAGGAATGATATTTAGTCTATATGCTATAGATCTTTAGTCGAATTTATTTGGAATTTTACGGCTACTTAAACGACGTATTTTTTTTTCTTTCTTTATTCAACAAGCAAAAACCAAACTTGAGATCACAACATTTATCGATTTTTCATTTCATTGTCATCATGAGAGTAGAGATAAATATGTAAATTTATGATATACACTTAGAAGAAACTTACAATTTTCAGAAAATGGAATGTAAGCAACACGAAATACTTCAAAAACAATATTGAACTCTCCATTTACGATAGAGACTTTTTCATACAGATCTCTAAGTATGCTGACATTTTTAAGGTATGTTTGAAATCTTGATCATCACCCAATACAATATTCTCTATCAATACTTATCTTTCGCAGGTCTACATTCATAGTCCTGACGAAATTATCACAGGAACAACTTCCTCTTTCACTGTTGATATGGAAGCTGCTATATCTTTCGGCTTATCTGTATGGACCACGAGGATCTCAGAAGAATTGAGACAAATGCCGCTAGCTATCAGAAAATGCAGGTGATGCAAAATTCTATTTTTATGTGATCAATAAATAGTAGAAGCCCATTTCTCTATGTGAGGCTTGCGAAGGACATATTTCGGTGTCTGTTCATAATTAATAACGAGCAATTCATTGATCAGACTTTTGTGTCCATCAAAAAACTATGGGGCGATGCGATTAACCATTGAAGAACGTAGATGGCTATAATATAATATATTTATTTAAAAAAAATATGCGTGAATTGTAATCGGAAGGAACACACATTAAGTACAAAACTTTTAACAGTTTGGTTCACGACTTAGTCTTCCCTTGGAGTTACTTAGCGTTAGTTTATTGGTAATTTCAGCGAGATAATCGAAACATGAAACGAATATCAATAATACCTAAATATGTTTAAAATTTCGATATTCACTTGTTTTTACAGATTCATCAACGAAGCGACTAGCGCTAGGTATCCTATATATTCCTACAGTCATTGCATTTTAGAATGCCGAATCGACGTGATAAAAACACTGTGCGGTTGCGTTCCACATTTTTACAAACCATTAGGTACGATACACGAGTTATTATTATTTTGTTACTTTTCTACTTCGAAACTATAATTGCATTTTTGTAGCTCACGAAAACATCTGCCATATTGAGCAGTTAAAGTGTCTTGTAAAATATAAAAAGGAAATCTTGACTTTATCTTCGTCTGAAGCAACAAAGAAGTATCCCAATTTGCCATCGAACTCCCGCGATTGCGGGTGTCTCAGTACTTGCGAATTGGACCAATACCACAAAGATAGAGAGGATGTAACGTCAAGGACTTATGTCAACACACTAGACATTGGAATCACCTCTTTTCCGAAAGTGAGAGTAACGAGAGATATCATATTCAATTTTCACGATATTTTATGTGAGTTTAGGTTACTTACATTTATTTGCATGTTTGGTAAGTTTAACTCATAAAAAAAATGATTGAATAAGAAATTACAGACGGGACTCGGATTTTCGGCAGTGGCACTGCTTGCAAAGCAAATCAGTCACTTTTTTAAATTTAACACTATGACGCGTTTAGATAAAGCTTGAAAATACTTTAGTTAAAACCATAATACTTTCCATCTATTTTCAGTACGAAGTGGAGGGGTAATTAACTTATGCATTGGTAGTTCTGTAATATCTATTATGGAACTTATAATAACGGCTGTGAAAACTTTCGTTTACATAATTATAAGCAGTATTAAGAGGTAAATAATGAAATAACTTCTGAGTGTATAATTTTATTCAATCTCCATTTATGATTATAATAAACAAGTATTAAAATCGTATAAATGTTTCGTCTTCAGTCTACCTCACTTTCCCCGGAACACCTGTCAACAAATTAATTTCTTGTTTACATCATACATTAAAATAGATAATAGAAATATTTATTTATTTATTATTTATAAAACACACCACAGAAAATACATATTAATGAGGAAAAAAATCTACTATACATAAATAAATACTAACTTATAAATAAAAGGCGGTAAAAACATATAAAATAGACCAATCTAATCACCTTTCAAGAATATACAAACGTAAACCATGCAATTTTAATGAAATTGGGTTTTCATTAAGCAAAACCATATTAATGGACTGAATAAAAAAACAACTGCATAATTGGATTAAATTTTACAATCATGAAAAATACTTAGTAAAAGCTTTACCTTTTAATCTCAAGTTTCTTTTCAGACTTGCAATGTGTTACCTAGTATCATTCCGTATAACAGTAAACTCGCATTCTAGTTTCCGTTAGATTAGTTGATTCACTTTTGACATTGTGCCCTGCAAGATTCAGTAATATTAAATAGTGACACAGATGTAGACTACGAATTTGCGAATATATTTATTCTCCTTAGAAAAACTAATCTTCTAAAAGATATTGTAACTATAGCGTCCATTTTGGTGTCGGTTTGAGGTGTGACGAACTTGCACAGGATTCAAAAGATAGACACATTTCTACACCAACGCAACGAACCATTAAAAACCGTATCTGTCTAAAAATCTTCACTCGCATCTTGTTTGAATTTGCCCAACTTTCAACACTTCCAGATTCTTTTCCGCGATTGACGCAAAATTTATAGGACATACAAGAAACTATGCAACCCCATCCAGAAAGAGAGTGTAGCTTGAAGACACTTACCATAAACATTATCAACACCATTGAATGGCAGATCCACGAATCCTTTCTTCGAATACCGACAAGACGCTCAAGAAGCTTCAACCACTTTATTCTATGCAAATTTATTTTAAACTTTATAGAAAATATGAAAATTTACAGGACTTAAAACATAACATTTTATCTTATGAAACTTACCGACTACTATTCTAAGGAATAAGCTGACCTGGAATCTCAGAGAACTTAAGAAAATTCCACTACGCTTATAAAAACTTTGACATTTACATAGTGTAAAGAATTACTCGATCTAATCACATTAGAGGAGTACAGTATCATTCTAGGGGGGCATTAACGATTCTGTCAGATATTATAAATGAACGATTTGTATTGACGTAAAACCAGAAAATATATTATTAAACAATAGACGGCAATTAGCTTATGTCATTATGAAAACCGTAACTTCCAATAGTAATAGATGTCGAATGTTGATTTAGCAGTTACGAGTGTCCTGCTGTTCGTGAAAAGCCTTCAACGACACGGTACAAAATGAAACAATGAAAAAAACAAAACGCCATGACATTTCGTAACACCCTCCAAAGCCTACTTTTGGCAAATATTTGCTTAAACGTATTAAACCTCGGAAACTGTATTAAAAAATGTAACGATACAAGTAAAACAAAGCAACGGTTCAAAAAAAGTATTATATTTATTCACTACATATTGACGCTATTTGACAAACAACTACGATTTTACGTGTATTAAATCGTAGTTATCTGTCGTGCAAGAGGACAAAAAAAAGAAAAGTAGTCTGTGCAACACAACACTGTTTACTTCCTACGTCTATACAGGTGGTGAATTTCCTATTGGGGTCCTAGCAAATAATATTATAGTCACATTTGAATCTTTGTAAGGCAAAACGGAAATCATACGGCATACTTCAAATATTATTCACACTTCCCAAATACTTAAAGTTTAAATCGCAAAATAGAACCATAATGTGTATTTGACAAAAATGCTACCAACTTCCTTTTTTAGTTATTTGCAATGCCTTCTCCATTTCCCTGGTGTTCATACAGCCAGTCTCATTCGGTGCTTCTCAATCAAATAAAAAATAATACTAAATTAACAGTGGTTTAAATCCGGAGGTATAAACATCAGCTAACAGATCAAAAAATATCACCGCAACGACGGCGTAACGGCCCAGCTACTAACTTGCCGCTAGGAACTATACCAAACACGGACCTGAGAGCGCTAGGATGCAGTAAAACGGTACAGTTGCTAGAGCAGCATCTGTACCTACTTATAGCAGTGTGAGCCTGTTAATAGAGCAGGATAGAAACCGATGGCAATAGCAACCATACACCGAATAAAAGCGAGAAATTGTCAGTAAAAGCAAATTTTCATTATATTAGCGTATACAAATTCATTTTGAAAAAGGCCCTGTAAAAACATACTGGCTGTGTCATGTGCATAACGGATTGGGCTATGAGAAATCGACCGCTGCTGCTTTGACTGCGATAAATGCACAGCGGCAAGAAGTGGCCGAGCCGTAACAGGTGCCTCCTTATTTTATGTACCCAAGAACATTCTTGAACAAGAGGCAAGCGAGGGAATCGGTGATCGCTATTTATAATAATACAACAACAAGGACTAATTCGGTATTAAGGACTAAATCTTAGTGACAAAATTTGAAATATAAATGTGAATATTTGATTATATCTTCGCCTAGATACAAAATTTATTTATGTGAAGGTTCTGAGATTGTCGGCTGCATATTATACCACCAGCATCCTGAACGTGGTATACAATTGAAAGAGTCGATTTGCTAAAAATGTCTAAGCAAAACTACTACCTCACATATCATCAATACTGAAACCTTATTCAATTCGACAAACCACGTCTAAGAAATTCAATTTTATTAGTGTAGACTTAATTAAAATTAACCTAAATACAATTTAAGTCAAGAAAGACGGTCAATCGACAAACGGGTCAAGTCAAAAGGTCAGCCGTAGTACAAGACGACGTAGAAAGTTGTTCCGATAGACAGACTTCAATATGAATTTCCTGCAAATACAAAAATATTTATTTACTAACGGATCGCCTACAAAAATCAAATGGAATAAACAGACAGTTACAAATATTTTGGAGGATAACACTGAAGGCCCGATACGATGTGAGGATGTAATCGAGTGATCATATATCCGTCTTCTAAGATTATAATTAGGTAGGTTAGTACTTAAACTTTCGAAATTATTGGCTAAATGTTTATCTTGAATTTCACTTTGTAACGTTCAAAATAGAGGGACAAACAAGGAAATTTCAACTTTCAAATTCTATTAAATAATTTATAGTGCCAATTTTGTTGAGTTTGAGCTCTGCACTACCATTCAGTACCTGTGCCTGTTTCTAACTTTGTATGAAGTTCAAATAAAAATTATATATTAATGCCTTGTCTGGCGCATAATTTAAATGACTTTCAACAAAAAAAAAAACCTAATGTTTTCCTACTAAAAGCCTCTCCTCTAAGATTTTGAATGACACCAAAGAAACCGTCTGCTGGAAATTTTGCCCAAGTCGCGACTTGCCACTTCCACAATAATGAAAAACGCCAAACAAACATTCAGACTTCCTATTGCCGAACACAGACCTGAACATATATATTTGTCTTGGGACTCACCTCTGGTCACGATATTTTAGAAGAACCTCACGTCGATAGTCCTGCCGTCTATTCTGGTCCGGTCAAACATTTCTGTACAACTTGTTCAGGAAATTAGAGTATATATTTACAATATTTGTTATCATAATCCTAATTATTATAATAAATAAAGTCTTTTCTTTAGAGTTCCACAAATAAATATAACAAGAAAGAGTGTTCCTAGAATTAAGGATTTCAAAAAAACTTCTGAATTAGAAAATGCGTAGTGAAAATTTGTTTGATTAAACTTACTAACAATATATCTCCTAGGACTTAAAATTGACTGATCACTGGATTTATTAAACTTGTACCATAATATCTTGAGATGAAATTGATACACCAGCTCTACCAGTATGAATATATAACCGTGACGTGCGCCTGCGTTAAATAGGCACTTGACTTTTTCATGATCACCCCGTAAAAAGGATACTGACTGCTCTCTCAGCGTCCCATTCTTTATGGAAGCGCACAATAGCTGTATCAGTAGCGGTCATCTCGGCGAATTTCACGTCTCCGCATTCACTGAACTTTTCACGAATTAACTGCCAAGTGACGGTTGGTGGTAACTGTGGAGTAAAGCATACAGGTATAGTTGCGCATTTTTACAATCGCGCACGCAATTGATTAGAAAACGTGACTGTACTCGAGAAGCAAGCGGACCGTCGTACTAGTTTGAGAAAGACAACACGACTGGGTAACCAATCAACTCTAGCGCACATGACGTTCACTCGCCCTGCGCCTGCTTCCGTCCCTTCGATATTTTTGACTTCTACGCAGGATCCGTGCCGCTACTTATAAGTTTTAATTTTTGCGTTTTAAACTATTAATTGTTTTCTTCATCTCTACGTTCTCTCAATGTAGCGTATAATGTAATGCTTTTATAGCTTTATAGTGACGAATTTTGGACTTACATTTGTGATTATGACCATATCAGATTGTTTATCTCGGGAGGGCGTCGACACTGTATTGTCACGTCCGTAACCTTGCCCGCTCACCTGTACATTGCTGTGTTGCATGGATCTATTAGTTCCTACAACATTAATGTAAATAAATTAGTTTTTACTGTAACTCTTCAACATAGAAGACTTTCCATTAGATAGGTAATATATACATGTATTAATTAAAAAAGGATTGTAAATTGAAAAAATATATATATAGTGCCATCATGTGAAACTTGTTACAATTATTATTTAGTTATGTATGCTTTATTAGTGGTTCCAAGTATAATGCAATGAGTTATGTCTGAATAAAAACCTAATGGAAATAAGTAAAATGACTTAACTTATTATATACATGTGTGACCTTAGTGTGTGTTATAAACATAGCTTATGATAATATTAAAAAAATCTAAAGCATTCTTATTACCTGAAAGGGGACCACTGTTGAGACTGTTGTTGCCGCCTAATACATTATTAGACATATTAGGATTGCCCAAGACATTGCCACTCATGTCTCCTCCTCCCATAGCCAAATTGTTTGTATTAACATTAGCTGCTTGAGCTTGCGTTAAAACTGAACTTACTAGGTCATTTGCAGTGATACCTTGTTGCAACAATTGATTTTGTAATGCACCAAGTCCTGTCAAACCTAGAGCCTGTAAAATAATAATTGATAATTTTTTTGTGCCTTTTTTAAACAGAACCTAAAAAATTATTTAAATTTAAAACATTGTACGACACGGATTTAAACCGGCAGTCCGCAGCGTACTGTGCTGCTGCTCTAACTTTACGCCTGCACCTATCGCGTAATTACAACGAGTACAGGAAGTACTTTCAATCTTAACGCATTAAAAATCAACAGAATTCTTCTCCTGATACTTTGCTTACCTGTAGACTCAAACCACCACTGAGTGCAGAGTTAGCACCCAAAGTATTAGCCGTAAGACTCTGACCTAGACCATTTAATGCTACCGTAGCAGCCGGAACTCCACCCAAAACGGTACCTCCTAAAGTTGAACCGGCACTAGCAAGATTCTGTAGATTGTTTGCTGGTGCAGGTTGTGGAAGATTCCTAGCAACATCTTTTAAAGGTTCACCATTGGGACCCAGTCCAAGTCCTATGCTTTTCAAGCCTTCTGGTAGTCGTAATTCGGTTTTGTCTGTACCTCTGTCCATACGCACAGTCATCCTTCTATCGTACAGCATTTGCTTGTCGAACATTGATATTGCCTATGAAAAGAAGGAGTTAGTAAGGAATCAAAAGTATACATGAAACATTAAATAAACAGTACTTTACCTGTACAGCTTCAACTGGATGATCATATTCAATTACAGCAAATCCTCTACTATTTCCATCTTTGTCCACAGCCAAATCAATGTTCCGGACTTTCCCTGCCATTTTGAAAACTTCCTTAATTTTCTGCCTATCTGCTTTGTAATCAAGCTGAAATATAAAAATATTTGCTAAATAGTGTGCTATAAAAGTGCATTAAAACTGCATGAAAGAGCTAGAGCTACATACATTAGCTACAAAGACTTTCTTCATTAGAGGTGGTTGAACATTGATTGATTCCAAGAATTGCAAACTCAGGCCATAAGTATTGAAGTTTTCTGGCTCCCGAGGTTTGTTCATATTCCATCTAAACATAAGGACAATATTAAAATATGTTCTGACTTTCTTTATAGTGTCAACACAAATTTCAATACATTGATAAATACTGTCTATAGTTTATGCGAGTAGTACACATTTAAATAAAACACTTTAACAGTTTAAAACGCGATATATTAGTTAAACTTATTGGAAAATTATTTTTAACTTTGCCCCGACGTTTCGGATGCTTTTTAGGAGCCGTGGTCACGGGGAGACAATCTCCCGTGACCACGAAAAGTCAGGATGTAATATATCGCATTTTAATCTGTTAAAGTGTTTTATTTAAACATTAGTAAATCTTCTATCAATTGAAACTTATAAGAATTAAAAGCTGTTATTTCCTAACCCATCTTTATCTTCTCTCATATTTCTGCCACCCCCTCCTACACTGCCACCACCAGCTCTTGGGACATTACTTCGACTCCTTTCATTACCTAATAAGTATTAAACAAAGTTTTTAAATCAGTCAAAAAATAAATAATAATTATAAAGTATAGCAGTGGTATATTTCAGAAAAAGAGTTCTAAACCTAGAAGTAATTTGAAATCGAAAATAAATTTAAAAAAATTATGACTTTTTATAAAGTTTAAATTATATAGAGCCATTATGTGCAATAACATGTAAAAAAATATTAAAGTTTTCAAACCTAGAAGTATTTAAAAGCTATTTACCAGTTTCCTCTCTTAAAACCAGCTTTCTCCCGTTAAGTTCATATCTATGCATAACAAACAGAGCCTTTTTCATAGCTTCAGTATTAGAAAATTCAACAACACCACATCCTCTGGGCTTTCCATTTTCATCATTAAACAATTCTACATAGGCTACATCTCCTACCTTAAATAATTTTAATGCAATGATTATATTACTACACATATTACAATTGTAAAACAAAGGTAGAGCTATGTTGGTCTTAATTTGACATTTCAGTACCATTCTAACATAACCCAGGGCTAAAAATACATTTTTATAAACCACAAAAAAATATATAAAAATTCAACCTGTTAATATTTAGAATATTAGATCAGATATATTTGTTCGACTTCTGGCAGAGAATCATTTTAGGACTGCTGCCCAGCAGTCGAATATTGGTGGCCCGCCATCAGTAAAACAAATATTCAAATTAATAAATTCTTTTTAATTTTAATACCCTTTAGTCTATTAAAATTATTATCTATTCTTTAGTGCCTTTAATTACCTATACTTCTGGCGGCCCGCCATAAGATGATGATTTGCCAGAGTGCCCTCTAGTCAGATAATAATTAAATACACAATGTACCTTCTCTTTGAATAAGTCCTTCAACTCTGTCCAACGGAATTCATACGGTATGTTTGATACAAACAAGCGTTTGGAATCTGATCGGTCTCTGTCTCCAGAACGATCTCGAGATGCATCAGAAAACCTAGACGGCCTGTCGCCCCGCCTCGACCGATCACGTTCTTTTTCTCTGTTGTTATCCATGTTACTAAAAAGTTAAAATACTTTAAATTAAATAACAGATAAAGTGTGAAAATTAAAGTCCAAATAAGGGGCGATATAATTAAAAAACGTTTTCGAGTAGAAAGCCAAGCAAAAAATTTACTATAGATAGAGTTACGGGCAGCCAATGCTGTGATGAATTAATAATTTGACTAACAAAATATCATTAAATAAACATATAGGCTATTTGTATCTTTAATAGCAACAGCATCAATACAAAACGACAGACCGGACCCGGCAAATACTACTATCAAACTTACACAATATGTTTGTAAATAAAGTACAATTAATTATATTATCATTATAAAAGATACATACCAACAATGTCAAAAAAAAAGTAATTAACCAATTAGTAAATTAATTTTTCTCTTGGAAAAGAGTATTTACAAGACTTAATTACTTGAAAAGCAAAATGGCGTTCTGGTCACAGAGAAGTAGACTAGGAAACTTTCTAGGTTTTTTGGACAATAACTTATAAGTCTATGGTAGTTAATGTTAAAGTTGGTTCTATGAAATCATTATACTTGTTAATGTAAAAGCTGACAATAATTAGTGAAAATAAGAAAAAATGGTAAAACTCTGTCACTATTATTTGAAACTAGTTAAACAGTATATTATATTTACACAAGCAAAAGTTGTGAGCTCAACATTTTCCCATTTATTTAACATCTCTTTATTCGAAATTGGTAGGGATTATTCTACTTTAAAATATCTTTACGCGCTGTTTCGCGAAGAAATATATGTATCTGTACGAATAGCATTGCCTTATTGTTTAGCTATTCTATGTTTATATTAGACTACTACTCAATTTTGTTATCTGTGGTAACTGGTGATTGTATTGCTTTTTAAATATTTTTTACCTACGTTAGCCATGCAGGCGAGCTCCGTTGGAATATTATTTATTTTACAATAAAATATTTAAAAAAATGGAACAAACGAAAGCTAGTTCTCCCAAACTTTTTGTGTGCACAGCTATAGAAAATAAAGATGAAATCGAAGAGGTACCAGATTTTTGTTTTTATTATTAATAAAGATTCATTTGGTCAGCCATTTCTATTTTACTTTGGTATCAAATCCGCTGCGGCGCTGAAGGTTCATGGCGCGAATTTTTAAATCTATAACCCAAAGATTCATTAGTTCATACTAATTTATTTATTACGCTTTTTACAGAGGTACGAGCGAGCTTATGTCTATTTTCAATCTCTCGTCGCAGATTGTAGTGAGAAAGAAGCGCATGACGCTCTTAACAATGCAGTATGTAAAAATCATGAAGAAGTATCTCTTGGAATGCTCATGTCAATCCTTACAGAACCCCATAATTCAACGAAATGCTATAGAGACTTAACGCTCATATCAAGAGATGGACTGACGTGTGTGCTAAATAATCTTTCCAATTTGATTCTTGAGCGGTACTTAAAATTTCAAGAAACAACTCGAAATCAACTGGTGTGGCTTATTAAAGAAATGATAAGAAACGCTGTTAATGGAGTAGATAGTGTTTGTTGGAATTTAATGCGTTATGCTTCTGGTGGAGATATAACTCCTAAAAATATTTTCTTAGTGGAGTCTTTATTGGACGTTTATATTGACAGTAAATCATGGCTTGATAAATTTCCAGTATTAATATGTATGGTGGTATATACATATCTGAGGTTAATAGAAGATCATAATGTCCCACATTTAATAGCTCTTAGACAGAAGGAAGTTAATTTTGTTATTGCACTAATTAGGGAACATTTTGATGAAATTTTAAGTTTGGGTAGGGACTTAGTACGTTTACTCCAGAATGTGGCAAGAATTCCAGAATTTAATCAACTATGGCAAGACATTCTATTAAATCCCAAAACTTTATCACCAACATTCACAAATGTCCTACAATTATTACAAACGAGAACTTCAAGAAGATACCTACAATCAAGACTAACTCCAGATATGGAAAGAAAATTAGTTTTCTTAACATCACAAGTAAGGTTTGGTCATCACAAAAAATACCAGGAATGGTTTCAAAGACAATATCTTGCCACTCCCGAATCTCAATCTTTACGAAGTGATATGATTCGCTTCATAGTAGGTGTTATTCATCCTACAAATGAATTACTGTGTTCTGACATCATTCCACGATGGGCAGTCATTGGTTGGCTTTTAACTACTTGCACATCAAATGTTGCTGCATCCAATGCCAAGTTAGCACTATTCTATGATTGGCTTTTCTATGATCCTGAAAAAGATAATATTATGAATATAGAGCCTGCCATTTTAGTAATGCATCATTCTATGAGATCACACCCAGCTGTTACTGCAACATTGCTTGACTTTTTATGTAGAATAATTCCAAATTTCTACCCATCATTTGCAGACAAAGTTAGACAGGGAATATTTAACTCTCTTCAGCAGATCATTGAAAAAAGAGTCCTCCCAAATTTACAACCTCTATTTGATTCTCCGAAGCTTGATCGTGAGTTACGTACAACTGTAAGAGAAACCTTTAAAGAGTTCTGCAGTAATGGAGAAGGTGTTTCCGGATTCAAAGAAGAAGGTATGGATGATGTTACTAGGGGCCCTGATGAACCTGCATTTTCTGATGATGAAGATGACCCTATGCCTATTATAGCTGAAGACACAGATGACGATGACTTACCATTATCAGAAGTTCGTGCTAGGGAACGGCCAGAATTAGCAGCAGCACTTCCATCAGCTCTGCGACCATTTGCAGAAACACTTTTGGATGAGAGAACAGCTGCTGCAGCCACAGCACTTCTTAATGCCTGTAATCCTCCAATGCCTACCCCTACAGCATTGGCTGATTTATTTGCTGCTGTTTTGCAGGATCTGCCACCACTCAAAATAAGTTCAAATCCCTCTTCAGCTGAACTGGATTTAAAATTAAGTTCACCAATTTTTTCTATGTTTGATTTACTCCAATCAGGTGCCAGCGATTCAAAGAAACTAATATCAGAGACATTCAAAGAAATATATGCACAAAATTCCATTCCTAGTCTAGGTTATTCACTACTTTTTTATTTAAAAGTTTGCTACGAGAGAGATCGGCGCGCGGAACGTGATCCAGCCAAGAAAAGGAATGTCAAATTTAAAATGGATATTTATAAAAGTTATTGTAGTAACTTAGAACTTAAACTTGTAGAAAGCTTAGCAGACGATTTTGAAAAATGCCAGGAATGTGATTCTAATGTACTAATATGGTTAGTGCCAGATGTATATAGAGAATTTAAAGAACAGGTTCAAAATCATGTCAGATTACTACACATAATAGTTTCCACAATAGATGCTGGACAACTTCAACGGCTAGTATGCTTAACATTGCAGGGCAATTTAATGATGTTTAAAACTGACGATTTCACCACCATGCTTTCCACAAGCCTGAGTTGGGAGACTTTTGAACAGTACTGTTTGTGGCAACTTCTCACAGCTCACGAAATATCAGTCGATGACGTTCTACCAATCATTCCAAAATTGTCATATAAAGAGCATGCAGAGGCACTGACCTCCGTATTATTGATGCTTAAGCAGGAAAGACCAACACCGGATGTTTTAAGACAAATTTTCTGCCGAGAGATCGACGACGGTGATACATTCGTCGTCTCAACGGTCATGTATTGGTGTCAAGACTATGAAGACAAAGTGGCAGATTTATTAGCAGTCTTATTAAGCACAAGATATCCAGGTACTAGTCCGAACAAAAGAAAACGTCCAGGAAAACATACTATTCCTCCGAATGCACCACCCTCTGCTGAATTAGTAAGTATAACAAATACTAATATACTAAGAAATATTTTGGAGAGTTACTACATTTTCGATGCTTATCCATTCTTTACTCCACAGGTCTTAGGGCATTTAGAGCAAATTAGAGTATGCTGCGTGGAGCAAGACGATATGTCAATTTTCAACATGGAATGTATGCAAAAGGCTCTACAGCAATCACAATCAAACAGTAGTGAAACTTTAAAGGTTATTATTTTTTTACTAATGCGATGTCAAATTTAAAACAAATATTGACTCCCGATATTAATACTGGCACTGTTTATTTCAGAGACAATACATGGACCTATTTTCTTTAGCCTGGGAAGATGAACTACCAATGTTAAGAAGGGCGCGGAAGCTCGCTTCGAACTCAATGCCACTAAATGCGAATTTACACTCATCAAATGAGGATAGTGAGGTGATGATACCACTCTTCACAAGCATATGACTTTTATGTTTTGTTTGGTAACTAAAAACTAATTTATTTTATAATTATTTACAGGAGGAAGAAATTGTGAAGCCCAAACAAGCTAAACGTCGTAAAAAAGCAATTTCAGATAGCGATTGACAGGTCATCCCAAATAAGAATTATGGTAATTTCCAACACCAAAGTTTGACTTTTTATAATAACAAATACTACAAAAGTGTGGAATGACAAGTATCATCTAAGTGTCCTATTGGTGCAATTAATTCCAAGAAAAGTACTTTAGGTCACCATAAAGAACTCGTAGCAATACATTTACATAATATTACTATGTAATATTTGTGTTATCACTTATCATTGCATGTTAATGTTGCCACATTTTAGTATTACTTTTATTGTAAGTACATGGCATATTAATATTTTTTATAGTGATAAAAGTCAAACAATATAATTTATGTAAAAGGTGGCATCATAAATAATTTTAATTAAAGTTATCAATTTACATTTCCAAACATTATTATTCAGATATTCTGGAAATAAAAATGACAGAGAATCATTACCATTACTTTTGTAAATGTCAATACAAATTACAATCTGTAGTATTTAATTGTAAAAAGATATTGTTATACAGATTATTTTTTAGTTTTCGTATGTATAGTGTTGGACTTATTTTAAGTGTAAGGTACAAGACCAAGATTTTAAGCATAATTATAATAATGATGAAATTTTCGAAATATGTTTACACTAGGTTCAATAAAGTATTTCCCCATAAATGGATAATGATATTTAATTTTTTTAATTTTTGGTTAAACATTATAATGATAAAAAAATACGCCCGTACATGTACAAACACAATTATAATATTAAAATGATGACAATACTACAAAAAGACAAATGAGATTTTATATAAATTTTGATGTTATATATAAAATATGGTTGAAATATTATCTATCTACTTTGTTGGAGTTTGCTTAAAATAGAAAAGTACTAAATGGTCTCTTATTCTATAAAATATTTAATATAATTATTAACCGACCATCACCGCAACACATGACTTCTGAGGGTATCTGCATAAAATATAATACAAAAGATTCTATTATTTTAGGATTTCATATCAATATTTATAAAATACTCAAGTTCCTGTTCTTGATTCTAAAAGCAAAATTACAAATGTTTGCCCTGTTTATATCGATGCCTAGCTTGAGCTTTGCTGTACTTGGTCTTCTTGTCTGGTATCACATTGTCCTTATCATTATTCTGTTCATTTGATTCTGGAAGTAATTTTTTTTATTGATAAACTATTTTGCCATCCGTAAGCTTGGTTTAATATATATATATATATATATATATATATACATTTACCTAAATCTGGTGGGGGTTGTAAAGATTTTCCTGCGTTCCAAGCAGTCATAAGGGTTGCAGTCTTTCCAATTGCAAACCCCACTCCCGAAAGGGCAATTGAAAAGGCTACCATATTTAAAGGATTCTAAAAAAAAGAAAAAAACAGTGTGACTATTAAGTTACTTAAGTTAATAATCCTATTTTTTAAGTTACCCAATACAAAAAAATACTTACAACAAGAGTAGGGTTGCTAGTCAATGTGTAATCTAATATAACAACAATTATTCCTAAAATAAGCCCCACAATAGTACATATCCATACAACATTTTCACTTCCTACAAAGATATCAGTTAAGTACATATGATTATTTTAAGAATTATATAATACTATTCTAATATGAACTTACTCTGTAATTTCTTTTTTTGCATATCTGTAACATCTTTTATGAACTGCATTAACTTTGAATTATGTGGTTCAAGTTGTAATGCTCTTGTATATGATATAATGGCTTCATCATATAAACCACTTGCAGCTTCAACTTCAGCACGGCGAAAGTAGCCCTACAAACAAGCAATCAATTAAATAAGACACAATCTCAAAACTAAAAGTAGAACTGCAAAAAAGAAAAGAAGCAATAGAAACTTAAGTCTTATAGGGATTCTCACACAATCCCCACTAATACTATTAATATATACATTTTATAAATCTATAAACAATAAGTTTTTTATATACTCATATCGTAATTGAATTTTATTTATACCTTATACATATATTATTACCTTTGCCCATTGCGGCTGTAATTTTATAGTTTCATTAGCATCTTGTAAGGATAAAAAATGTTGATCCAACTTTAAAAATGCAAATGATCGGTTACTGTAAAGTATATAGTTATTTGGGTCCATTTTAATAGCTTGAGTGTAATGTAATACGGCTTCAATATATTTTCCATTTTTAACACAATCATTTCCTTTCTCTTTATGTTCTTCAACAGATAGTCTTATTGGTTCACTCTTTGAGTTATCCATTTTAATTTGTATATAATATATTAACTTTTAGTCTTGGATATGATTTAGTATAGGATAAAATATACAAAACGAGGGTAATATATAAACTCTAACCTCTTTTCTTAATTAATTTAATCACGGACCATGATAAGGCGATATTTCTTTTTAATACATTTGTCAGAGCCTAAACGTTCAATATATTTAAGATATCTACACTTAAATAAACATTTCCGCAACTTAATACGAATTATTACAAATTAGTAATTTACAGTTTACACCTATAAAGTGCGGTAAAGTGTAAACAGTATTTCAATTTAATTAGAAATTAGAATAAATAATTAATATCGACAACAGTTAAATATTGTCAAGTTGATAAAAAAAACAAGCTGTCCAATGTCATTATTTAACATTTGATATCAAACTATAATATGTTTTTTCATAACTGGCAAAAATAGTAAACGTAAACATTCATAGTGTTGACATTGACAACAGGCATGAGGCACAATTTATGACATTATACTACCAGTGATTACGGATTAGTCGGATAATTATTCTAAAACGAAGTCTGCCTCCCTTATTTTCTCAATTTTTATTAATTTTCTCAATATTATTTCAAGTAACTATGGGTATAAAAGAGGCCGCAATTTTCCTGGATAACCAATGGAATACATATTATGCTGGTCAAACTGTGAACGGAAGGATTGAGTACGTCTTCGACAGTCCTAAAAAAGTTAGAGGTATGGCTGTTTACACTTAAGGATGTGATCATCGCTGATAGTATGATACTTGTGTAATGTGACTCACGTTACTAAGTAAACTATGTTAAAACTGCATAATTTTTAAATACTTCTGGTCTGTTGCAGGAATTCATGTTAAGTTTAAAGGTGAAGCTCACACGGAATGGAGTGAAAGTAAACAAGAGGAGGACAGTGATGGTAAAACTCAATCTACTGATACACTACACACAGGCAATGAGGAATACTTTCAAATATCATACTACCTCCTTGGAAGCAATACAGGTATCAGAAAGAGCTCTATAAATAACCATTATTTACCGTAATATCCAAAAGGAGATCCCGCATTTAATATGTGATTTAGTTTATAATTTTCATTTGTGTTTACAACAAGTATATTAAGGCTTATTAGCTAATGTTGTTGTGTTATCATTTATAATCAAGACAGTAACTTTTTAAAGCATGTTAAATTTTCAACTTAGTATCTTTAACGGTTGTTTAGTGTGATCAGATAAAAGTACCATTGCAATTTTTTTAGGAAATGAAATTGAAATCCCAGCAGGAAAGCAAGTATATAACTTTACATGTGCCCTACCACCAGTTCTACCCTCTTCATTTGAGGGTGAGCATGGCTTTGTGAGGTATACCGTCAAAGTCACATTAGACCGACCCTGGAAATTTGACCAAGAGACTAAAATGGCATTTACAGTTATTAATGCTTTAGACTTGAACTTAAATACCTCTTACAGGGTAAGTCTTTTTTAATTTTAACATATATCATGTATATATAATATGGATAACTAAATATTTACAATGCCTCATACTACTATTATATAAGTAGAGTTACCTTGTTTAAAAATTACTGATTTGGTAAAAATATCGGATAAACTTCCACCACTAAATTTGGTATACTTATGTATTTTACCTCCTAATCACGAATATCATGAATGAAAATTGGCCAAACCCATTTTAAATATGAAAAAACCTCTTTTCTTATCTAATCAAAAAATTTTCACGAAATGGAATTACTAAGCGGAAATATTCCCAGTCGATTAGGAGAACAAAAAACCACTCGAGAATTAGGCTACTATAGCGAATAGATCTCAAGTCTATCGACAAAAGCGGCAAATATTTCCATAGCCGACTATTACATAAAAAACATTCTCGACTTCACTAAATAAAGAAAAATATACCATTTGTATCTGAACCAAAGTAAATGGAAAATCAACTACTATAGCGACCACATATTAAATGGAAAATACAAATTAATTGACATCTTCTACTGTTACATAGCCCACATAGTATAAACATATAGTAGCTATATAGTAAAGTAGATATATCTTGTATATTGGCTAGTTTAAAATAAGTTAGCTAACATTATTTAGAACACTTTAGTGCATTATAAAGTATAAAACTTAACAAAAAATATATGTCACAGGAACCCATACATTTTCAAATGGAGAAAACATTCTGCTGTTTTTGTTGTGCTTCACCACCACTATCTGTTGACGTAAGGGCTCCGGTATCTGGATATTGTCCAGGACAAGTGATCCCCTTGACAATTGATATTGAGAATAAGAGTAATGTTCAACTACACCTCATCAAAGTTTTTCTAAGGAAGGTATATACTGGTGTTGATAATAATATTTCCCTCAATTCAATTTGTTATAGAGTAACAAATATTTCTACTATAATGCAGATTCTAAACTGATGTGTGACATAGCCCTAGGATTACTTTAGAAAAAAATGTTTATTACCGTGTGTTGTAAATTAGTTTCTTATCTATTTACATATATGTATATGTTATATTGAAAATCCTATTTATGTAGCATGTAATTTATTATTATTGCATGATTGAAATATTTACTGTTTTATAAAGGTTGTAACCTATCGGGCGACTTCACCTACCACCGCTACTAAAAAGTCTAAAGATATTGTCTTAACAATTCAAGAGGGTCCTGCACCAGCAGGATGCACAAAACACATTAATTTGAACATGGAGGTTCCTCCTATACCACCTTCGAATCTTGTCAATTGTAGTATCATAGACCTGGATTATGATCTGAAGGTATGCATAGTCAAAACAACAACTTACTCTATCTGTAAAAGTGCTAGTCTAACACTTTCATGAAGAGATCTATTGATCTATATGGCTAGTCCAATGTTACAATGAGCTGTTGTTGTTATCAACATTAACTAAAATTAAATAATAATTAGTCGCATTTGTTAAAATTTTGTCTTTAATATTAGAAGTATCTCTAAAAATGGCAATTAATGGCACTTAGATTAGAATAAAAACAAATAAGTCTTTATTGCAAATAAATTAATGCACAAGGAGACTTATACATTAATATGGCGTGCAAAAGGCATCTTTATACGTATCTAACAAGTGTTTCCTTTCAAGCAAACAAAAAGTATGTATTATTGAATAATTGCTCTATTTTTTAGGTGGAATGTGTGGTATCTGGTATGCATTTTAACCTAAAGGATAAAAAGTACATCACAATCGGAACAGTTCCACTTGTGGGCGTCGGAGCTACTCCTTCAGCCCCGATTATGCCTGATACACCTAACCAGCCTGCTGTATTGCCCGTCTCTCCTGGCGAACCTGCTCAGCCAGTACGTATTATCACTTTACATATTAAAATCGCTATTTTAATTGTATCAAATAAATGTACCCATAACCGCACCTTTTGAGATAACTACATTTGAAAGTACTATTCCATTTTTCTTGTGGGACATCTAGCAGACACATTTCTGTGTCTATTTCTTTTACGGGCTGTCCTAAAAGGCTTGTACCTGACTGTACTTCAGAGCCCTGCCTTAACTTAGTTTGAACAAGACCTTTTTTTACTGCTGAGGCATAGAAAGATAAATACAGAATTTATTTCATTAACTTTATATTGGATCGTTATTATAGGGACCAGGGTCAGGTGGCGAGGTAGGACCAGGTGGTTGGGTCGTACCAGGTACTGCGCCTGCGCAGCCACCTTACCAATCTTTGTATCCAACGCTCAGTAAGTATTAATTATTTGATATAATGACTTGTTATTATTTTTAAATAAGTTCAGGAAACATATGTTTTACTACTTGTTAAATGATTAAATACTCTTAATATTAAGTAATTTTATTATATAATATGTATAATTTTCTGCAATTTTGAAATATTTTTGTTTATTTAAGTATAACTGTAAAACTGTAAGGAATAACTAGGTTTAATAGATAAGCTATTTTAATTTACTAAGGCAGTGAAGGACAATCCGGTTATCAAAATGATTCACACTATTGTATGAAATGTATACTCAAACAATAGTTACAACTGACATCTATACTCAATGATTCACTATTGTTCTGCTTGTAAGATTTAATATTTCATAATGAGTGCCTTGTTGTTGTTTTGATAAGTATACTTGACTGTAGAGTACGGATTCCAAGGTTCTAATTCGGTTAGGGGGAAATATTTATTTTGAATTGTCCTAAAAAATCAATATGAGTCTGTAGTTTAGCTTAGTACGATCCTAGTCCTGACTTACTGGCGTTAATACTAATATTTTTGACTCCTACTAATTCCTAAAGACTCAGCTAAATCCGAACGGATGCTGTTGGTCCTAGGTTCGAGTTTGCACTATGACAGCTGGCAGTATTTACCTCCTATAAACGCAATATGTTAACGAAACAAATCTTTTTATTCTTACTAACATTATTTTTCGATATCCACCCTAATTGACTGTTTTATTTCAGCTTCTCCTGTATACAGAGAGTCTCCCTATGGACGCAACATACAAGATCGTAGCGAGAGCCAACATATGGCGATTACGGGGCCTGCTAAGTTTGCCCCCTACTACCCGACATATGCTGTGCAGCCACCACCTTTACCTCAGTAAAATTAGTCTGTACAGTTTTAACAAGCTGGGTTTCAATTCTGCTGTTATTCCAATATCAGTACACTATTACAAAATATCAGTGTACGAGATTCGGGTCCCTACTTCGCGATGGCTTCATTAAAAGATACCGTGTCCAAGATTCATTTAATTGACACCAATATTTATGTTATTAGAATATGTTAACGTTGTTTATTTACTAAGCATAAATCTATATTAAATAAAGTGTAAAATATTATAATTTTTACAAGCCAGTGTGCAAAACTCAATTGAAAAAACAACGGAGCGCTAACTGTTACGGATTTGGTGTTTACCTGTCTAATATTTGGATATTATTTATTATAACGTTAATGTCGTGACGCCATTTTTGACATGATACTAAAATAAAAATACCCCATTCATATAACATTTCACAAGATGCGTTGTGAAGGTCAACCTATTTTTGAATACTGTCTGTTCTGTGTTTACGCGAGGAGTACACATTAAATAAAACACTTTAACGGTTTAAAACGCGATATATTCTAGTAACACTTATTTGAAAATTATTTTTAACTACGGCCCGACGTTTCGGATGCTTTGCAGCAGCCGTGGTCACGGGGAGACTAAAGATAAAAATTATTTTCAAACAAGTTTAACTAAAATATATGCCGTTTTAAACCGTTAAAGTGTTATATTTAAACCTATCTTCGCTTTGAATATGCTAAAATCTACAAAATCATGAATAGAACTAAAGTAAATACTTTCGAATTCATAAAAACGTCGACATTGTTCGGTGCTAATGTTGTCGTTAAAAATAATATATATCTTTAATAATAAATTGTTTATTCAAATGCTGAGTTTGGCCAGTATTCAATTTTGATTTTATTAATTTAATGAATCTCGGTAAATGTTAAAAATGTACGCCACTGTATTGTTACTAATTAAAAATAAATATTAATTTTAAATTGCAATGCACGTGCAAGCTTTTGGCAGCTTAAATCTTTATAATTATTTATTACATTACACCTTAACTGGCTTACATATTTGGTTAAAATGGTCGTGAGCTTTATTGATGATAAAATTTATATAAAGGACACAAATTTTATAGAGTTAATATACTATTATGCTTTTATAAATATATAGATGAGCGCGAGCACTTTTTACAAGATTGCTCGAATGTTTTATATGAACTTTATATTGCGTATTATAATTTTACAAATTTATTACTGTTTAACTAAATATAACATTATTGTATATTGGACGTTTTATTTCATGCCTTATAAAAATTGAAAACAAAGCAATATGATTAAAACCTTTATTGATTTTCCCTCACAATATAAACAACTTAACACTTCGTTTGAGCATTGTTTCCAATAAAATGTTTGCAGTTGCTTATCTAACAGATATTGTCTATTCAGTGGCGAACTACGTATAAATTAATAAATTATTATTATGCTAAAACTTATTAACATTCTTACGTAACATACTTTTCATAGCAATATCTGTGTACTTAATATAACCAAGAATAACAGTAAAAAATCTTTAAGCATATATGAACAATAATAATATATTTCGTATTAATTTCATCAATTACAAATTGCTTTTATAAGCGAAAACACATTTATTGAGAATACAGTTGTCTTATTGTAGAAGGAAAAACAAATATCCATTTATTGCTGACATAATATTGTCTAATATGTGACTAATTATTTCATTAATGATCACGTCAATAAAGTGACGATACGTGATATAAATCGAACCACAAATGAATAAATATACCATAGAAGCTATAAGGTTTCACTCTGCATACAGTAATTTTAAAAGAAATCTTTGCAAAGTTATTTTGACAAGGCTTTCTTGCCTAGTCACGCAATTTATATCGGATAATTCATTAAACATGACGCAAACTGACTTCTATAATATATTTGTTCCTTGTAAACATGTCCTTATCATAATAATTCTAACTGGCTAATTGATATTTTTGTAAATCTAAACAAAAACATGAAAAAATTACTACCGATGAATGTGTATTGTATCGAAAGAATTCTAAGGTACATCAAGACCGAATTACGTTTCAAAAGAGGATCGGTTTGTGCTCGACGCTTAAATTGACGTATTGTGTTATTACGTTAGAATGTACATTTCTCCACACTTGAGAAGGGCCCGAATGGGGTTGGAACATACATTGTACTACTAGCCTCGTGTGAAATGTAAACCCGGCATGAACCCAGATGTGCGGTGATGTACTACGCTTATTAAGGATGCCATGAGAATTCCAATTTAACGTTCGCTCAAAGGTGTACGAGGAACTAGCGGTACCCGCCGCCGGCGCGACATGGCGCGAGCGGGCCGCACTGTGACCGCGCGTGTCTCCGCCGCCCGTTTGCAGCTTGTCAATCCCTTCGCCTGATGCTTCCTAACATGACATTAAATCTAAGTCAACAGCGCAGTCTCTCGTCGCTCGCGCAAACGCGGACAGAGTCAGATGGGGCGAGGACTCCTCCGCTCGTAACGTCCATTGCGCAGGTACATCCATGATCTCGTCCACCCGTGTGGTCTGTCGTCGGTGAAATCCGGTGCGCGTCGGCGTCTCTCGTCAGTCCCATGTCTCCCGAGGGAGGTCGGTCGGTGCCGCGGCGGTCTGGCTGCTATCAGTACTGGCTTCGCGCGCGAAATCCGCCCTGGTACGTGGAGTCCTGAGACAGCAAACCATCGGGCTGCGACGGACAGTCCGGTGCGAGAGACTCTTGACTAAAGTCCGGCTGAGACGCGCCCTGCGATAGAGACAGCGGGGCCTGCTGCGACAACGGCTCCTGAGACAAACGCGGTGGTCGCTTTCTATTGCGCTGGTTCATGTTCATGAGTGGACGTTGCAGTCCACGATGTGCGGAGAAGGCAGCAGGTGGAACTGGTGCGTGTAACATGGCCGCTCTTTCGGGACCAACATACGCTAAAGGATCTCTGAGGGGTCTCGCTCGATCGTAAATTGAACCGGGGACCATCGCCTCTCGCGCATCGAACATTGATGTTGACATAAAGTGAGACCCTGGATTCTGGGCATTGACAAGTTTCTTGGGCTTAGCAAATTGGATAGCAGACTCCTTAAGATTAGATAAAGGACCTTCTGTAAGAACGCGACGTTCCTTGTAAAACGCGAGCAGATGATTCCAAAGAGGCTGCTTGCTTAAAACTTTTGGGTTACCTACGACAATCAAACCGTACTTAGCGCGCGTCAATGCCACGTTCAAACGGCGCGGATCGCTTAAAAACCCGATTCCTTGATGTTCATTAGACCTAACGCAAGACATAATAATTATGTCTTTTTCTCGGCCCTGGAAAGCATCTACGCTGGCGACTTCTATTTCCTGATATAGTTTAGCATGCAGACTGCCTTGGTACTGCATGTGTTGTACCAAATAAGACCTCTGACCTTCATATGGAGTGATGATACCGATCTGTTCAGGTCTGACACCTGCTTTTAAGAAACGTGTTGTCAACTTCTCCACATTTGCAGCTTCAGTACGGTTTAAGTAAGACGTGCCCGATCCAGCTATTTCCTCTTGCCCCTGAGTAACATAGAAAAACATGGGCCTATCAGGTCTCGGCCAGGGAAAATCGATTTTGTGCAGGCGTCTCTCTTCAGCGCTAACACCATTTTGCAACGACCCTTCGTAGAAGAAATCTGATGGAAAACGCGAAAGCTCCGGGTGCATTCGGTATTGTACCTCAAGGCGGAACGGGCGAATGCCTAGGACAACTAATCGCTCAAAGAGACTCTGACTCAGCCCTGCTTTGGCGGCCTTCTTGCACATCACCACGGGTCCTAGTTGGCAATGATCGCCGACGAGAATCAGTTGTCTTGCGCCAAGTACTACAGGTACCATACATTCGGGTTCAGTAGATTGCATACCCTCATCGATGAGAATAGATTGGAATCGCATCCTTGCAACTCTAGGATCTCCAGCACCAACGCAGGTCGTGCACACTACATCGGCAGCGTCCAACAATCGCCTCTCGGCAGCTCTGCGTAAGGCTCGATATCTGCGTTCATCGGCAGCTGATAATTCTCCGGCTTCTTCTTTCAATCTAGTGAGTTTGCGGAGTTCACTGTCGGCCGAACCCAAAGCCCTCGCCTGTTCGTGTAGAGCAAGGAACGAAACGGAAGACTCCATTGCTTCACGAGACTTGGCGCAGAGTCTCACAACTTTTAGTCCAGTGCGATGAATTTTCTCAGTTAGTTGGTCAACAGCGGTATTAGAAGGCGCGCACACGAGCACCGGGCCACCGTTTTGTCTCACGAGTTGGTAAACAATAGTTGCTGACGTTACCGTTTTACCAGTTCCAGGTGGGCCTTGAATCAATGACAACGGACGTTGTAACGCATGCTTTACAGCGTACACCTGGAATAAGAAATAAATTACCGTTAACTAAAGATACCTGCAGAATTATAATCACCCCAAATCTTAAACTGCGCTGTTTACTTTTAAGTTATTTATATTTAATTATTTGCAGTAATTCATGAAAGTTTGAAAATTAAGGGGTCCATTTTTCCCACAGCCACCAATTAAAAATAAAATGTGGTTTGTTATACAAGGAACTAAAAGCATGTGTAGCTAGAAAATATATAGACAGCGCATTAAAGCTGATAGGTTAAAACTAGTAGTAGTAGTAGTAGTTTCAATAACACCTATAGTTATAAAATTAGCAAATACCAAAGTTGATTATTACCTGTGACCTATTGAGGTCGGGCAAATTTGGTGCGCTGAAGTGCTTCGGTAAGTGCACGCGGAACAGCACCTCCTCCACTTCATGTCCCAATAGACGCCGGTAGATGTAACCAGACACAGATGAGTCGTCAACAGCGAATTTTCGCAGCGCCAATTGCATACTGAAAAATAGATAAAATTAAGTATTCTCGTATTTGCAATACGGGGCCATACGTTTTCTTAGCTACTTAAATATATTTGATTTGATCTACAGACAAAAAGAGGGCTTTTTACCGGTCAAAAGATGTGCTCTTCCATATGAAATCGACGACAAAATTGGAAGTACAGTCGAGTGGTGCGCCGGCGCCACTTTTCAGTTCAAGACCCACATCATCTCCATAGTTATCCGGCACTTTGATTACATGTCCTACACCAGACCATGCTTTGTGCAACTCACCAACGTATCTGTAAAGTTACATGTTTATCCTGTATTTCATTATTTGTTTTGTCTGTGGCATAAATATTATTACAATGCATGACAGTTCGATTTAGTTGAATTGGCAAGGATCTAAAACAACCTAGGTACCTGTTTTTTAAATGATAGAGGATAGACAAGCATGGGATTCACTAGATAGGAGATAAAATACCCCAGCCGTATAACATCTACACAAGATGCACTGTCAACCTATTTTGGCTTTGAATATTTGCAATAAATTATTATTTTAAAAACTACCATACAGAGGCATATTTCTATAAAAGCTTACCTCAATCTTAATTCATCTCCATGCATGAGCTTCATATCACTGTCAGTTTTAGCTAGAGTGAAGTAAGCTATTGTCTTCTTATTCAAGCCAACATCCCAGCGGACTTCAATGCCTTCTTGAGTTTGCGATTCTTTTAGCCTTTTATCATAATCAGCCTCTAGCTTGACCAGTGGACCAAATATGTTTTGATATTGGTACCCATCCTCATATCTATAATAAAAATAAATATATATGTGTTATTCCATTATGTAATATTTGTTACTTTAAATTGTAAGAGCAATAGTTTCTGTGAACTTATATAGTGTCCTGATTGATTTTAACTGCATCTGCATATTCATATTATGTAAGATTATACCTCAGAAGAACTTGATGTGGCTCTTCATCTACCCCAGGTTTTTCGAGATCTTGAAACGTAGCATCCACATTATCACGCCATAGTTCTTCTAAACGCCCTATTTGTTGAGGTGTGACCTGCAAATAAAATTATTTATTGTAGCAGCAAAGATTTTTTTTACTTAATTACATTATCTAACACTATATATATATAATATAGGTTACCTGACGAGCTCTCATCTGTTCTGCTTCTGATGGTACCTTAACAAGCCAAGACAGGAATGCACGGTCCGCTGCAAAGAATCCTCAATAAATATTTTGTAGTTCTTGCTTTAAACCTTTTTATTATTTTAAATCACTGTTTGAAAGTATAACATCATATGAGGCTGCTAGAGGCAGAGTGGCCCAATAACAAAAAACATGACTATTAATAAGGAGGAAAAAAATGTGCAATTAATTTAGGTGAAAATGAATTAGTCCTAATATTTGTGTAAGAATTATGTTAACAATTGTCGTTCAATAAGCTCTAGTAGATTAAAATTTTGACAATATAAATAAGGCAAGTCATAAAACTGCAGTTAGGCTATTCTGTCTGTAGTTGCCTCATATATGAGTCTTATACCATTCACTCTACTATGTACTCACAAATCAATGGTTTCCATTGCTCCTGATCCCAGTTCATATCTTTCAATGAGCTTTGCGCTGCACACGGCTGACTGAAAAGAGAAAATATATTTATATTTTTTAATATTGACATACAAGTTAAATTCAATATTCATAAAGGTAACAGCAAATATGAACTCACCGGCAGAGAAGGACCACAACTGAATCAGCCTTGGCTGGTATGAAACCAAGAACAAACACATTGCGAGCACCACAGGAATAGCACTCGAGAAGAGTTTCTCCAAGTGGCCCATCACGGTGCAATGCTGCCTCCTTATGCTTGGCTCGCACTAGGTGATTAATTATATGAGACCCTGATGTATTGCCGCGGCCGTTGCAGAACCTATTCAAATGTTTATTTATTAATAGACCTAAGAAACTATAGCAAGCATTAAAATGCTAGTCTTTAAATGTGTATTTGGTAATACCATAACATAAAGCAACTTTCCTATTAAAATAGTGAGCCTTACTAACCATTTGTTGCAAATATTACACATAACCACTGTGGCAGGATCATGAATGCCACAGTACTTGCAAGCATGATCAGGTAGCTCCTTGCTGCTATACAGAGCTTCATCATCTTCCTCAAATTGTAATTCAGCAATAGCATTGGTTACACTGGTCAATTTGGAGCCAATGTCCGGTCTTCCTAAACCATTAACCTAAAATAAAACCGACTGTTTAGTTTATGTGCAATAGTAGTTATAATTAGGTTATGTAAACAGACATTTTTTACCTGATTGGCAGAAGGCAGACCGTGATCATGCTGCGATGCTTGCGTCTGACTTTGTGATGGTAGAGTGAAATCCGTAAATTCAAACTCGGAACCCTGAGTGTCGGCACCAATAAGATCAGTTTCCTCCGTATCCAGAAACGTGAGCGTTTGAGAACTAGGCCCATACGCGTCAACACTCATTTTGTTGCAGTTAACTTGCTTATACACGAGTAATAAATTTTGTCAAAAGAGTAAAGCACATATTACGAATGCTAAGGAAAATCCCATAACAATTGATTCACGATTTGTGACTTTACTGATGTTGATGATCAAGAATTTTCGCCATGTTAGCACATACAACTTTTGGATAAGTAAAAGGTTTGTTAATTATTCCTAGGGTAAAACATACATTTCTAACACTCTATTGGACACCCTAAAGCGCAATCCTCTTTTTGACCAATCATCGCTGTGATGTTTTTGAATAAACCAATAGAAATCACGGATTCCACCATAGACAAAATACTACTACGTTTCATGTATTGTCAAAGAGAACAAAGTTACTGACGAGTCACAAAGTCGCACGTACTCTTTAAAATATATTACAACTGTTTAATTCAGTAATATTTATAATTAATTTCTTGTGGCGCAATAATTCAATTTGTAATGAATTATAATTTATTACAAATTAAATTTAATTGATTTTGCAATATTATAGGATTTAGATCTATCTTTTGATCTAGCCTCTAGATGTAGCCCATCAAGTTTTATGAAACTTGCTGGTTTTTACAAAACATTATGTATTACAATTTTATAATTGTGTGTTAGTACAAACAACATATAAACATACATTTGTACACATGAGGCAAACGCATGCAGTGATCTACTTCTCAAAATAGACAACATACATAAATGTGTTGTCACTTCCTTTTTAGAACACTGTCGGGGAAGGTTGATAATCCTAATTAATAAAGAAGGCTACATTATATGTATATTTTATTTTATTTTACTATTCTTTGATTATATTTCTAATAAATGTTAACTATTTAAAAGATTCAACTATGTCTTACGGTGGACTAACCACAACTTTCTAATCGACATTGAGTATATTATGCTAATAATACGTGTCAGGCGTTTTTTATAACGTTTATTATTCTTGTATAACAATCCATAATCGAGTACTGCGTCAAATAAAGTATAAAATATTTAAATACGACATTTCATAACTTAATAACTCTTTTATTAGTAGGGTTCAAATTAAAAAAGTACGTCTTGACATCAATTTAATAATTCTGCTAATTTTAGATTTAATAGCGTGTTTGACGCATCATGGTGATGGATAATGATGGTTTAACAAAAAAAAGAAAGACAAATTGTATTGAATGCATTTAACTCAGCTTGAGCGATCTAAAATTTAATTTAATAGTAAGTGGTTTGGTCCCATATGTTGGACTTCAACGAATTTTAATCAAGTTTTTCATTTTAACACATAAAAAATTAATGAGTGAAGAAAAAAATATAATTCACAGCAGGTACTTTGTTTTTATTAACGTAAAGGTATAGCAATAAGCTCCTAATGTTAGGTTTCACGAAGGAAATTGATAAGTGTGTAAAATACAGATATACCTGATGCTTAAAGACTACCTCTTTTTTAACAATTCCGAATCTTTCCCATTTCATTTTATCAAAAAATAAATTAAAGTTCCAAGTCTCTACTTAACCTATTGGAAACAAAACACTTCCTTATTGTTTTATAAATCAATTTCTCACTTGCCAGCTGTCAGCAAACAATTAAGGGAGTAGACATAGGGACAGCAAACGGTCATGGAGTTCAAGAAACAAATAGTATATCAGATTTCGTTACATTTAAATGAAAGAGTTAACTAATTGATGTAAATGCTATGTCTGACAAGAACGTTGCCCCGGGTGCGGGTCACATATTACTAAATGAAATCAATACGTTATGTTAATAGGCATAGACAAATATACTTTTTGGTTACAAACGTATTTATGCTAGGGTATTCCCAAAAGAATCTCCCAACTCCGTTGATAATTGGTTAAACGCGTTGACTAGTATTGCATTAAGAGCGATAAGTTCTTGGTTCTAATTCTTCTAACAGGGAAATAATATTTTTGGTAACAATATCTGCTTATAGAGAAAACGACATTTCACACACGATTTCAAATGAACGTCAAGGAAATGACAACCAAATCCTCGTAATCCAGAGTAACTTATTTACACTAGAAAGTTTCGTGCACTTAATAAAAGAGCATTTTAATGATTAATGACTCACACAGAATTAATGTCTGCTAAAGTTTGAGTACATTTAAAAAAAATGCAACATATTTTGCTATTTTATAACGGCCTTCAGGAATCGATTTGCGACCCATGCCTCAAACGCCACTATTTACAATAGGTATATCTCTTATTTATTCTCTTAATTTTTTGTTGCTATTTTAGGATTCCGGCCTCAATAAAGAAAATGATAGTATTTGAAGTCTGTGACGAATTCTTAGGTCAATGCGATTCTGCAGAAGCATGTATTTCGTCTAGGCACGAGACAATTGTTGACAATTGGTGCGGATCGGCGCCAGTCGTGATGTCACCCGGCTGAGGTTCCTGTATGACCCGAGGTTCTGGTTTTAACTTCGAAAATAAATTGTATCGCTTAATTGTTTATCATAGACTTTCTCTTTCTAATCGCACCATTACCAGATTAAAAAAGGTGATATCCCGTTTCTCTTACTTTTGACAGATTTGGCTCTATAATAATTAAAGCCGAGTTGATCAGATTGTTTTTTCTCTGGGGTAGTAACCTCTTTAAGTAATTCCCACAATATTGTGAATGTTTCTCCATACATAATGCTACTTCACATAAAATGTATACGTCACCGTGTAGTAAATTTTCTAAACTAGCTAGCGAGTTGCAAATTATCACTGTTTTCATTGATTACAATCTAACGAAAAGCATGCGGTATGCAATTCGTTACATGCTAAATGATGAGCTAAATTGTAAATCCCCCGTGTACGCAAAATATGTGGATAGTTTATAAACTAACAAAAGCGTAGTACATCAATAAATAAATCTTATAGTGAGATTTTTTGTACTGTAAGTATATTTGCTATGGGAAAGACCGAGACAACTCCCAAGTATAATACATGCATATGCAATGCAACACATAATACAAACGTTATTTCTTAGTGAGCCGGGTTCGTGTTAAAAAGTTATTACAGTATTTTCAATAAATACCCTTATTGTAACAAAGTATTATTATTTATAGGTTTCTAGTTTAACTACAGATAATAATTTTGTTTCCTCAACCACCTATTGTGTAACAGACTGCAACAAGACTATAGTAAATGTCAGATTACCTGTTGAAATACCAGAGGCTGCGTCGTGACGTTCCAGGTAGAAATTCTAAACACAGCACTGTACAGAACATAGTCTTAACTCTTTGCTTAAGGTCTATAAACACCACGATTCCCGAAACATCGTGTGTGTTACTTGTACAGCTCGAGGAGTAAAAAGACATCAGAATGTGACGACGTTTTATTGTTCTGCTTTGCTTCGTTGCTCATGCGCATTCGGTATATTATATCGTATCAGACGGCTGATCAAATACACCTTCTTGGAAGGGCCTCAGATCGACAGAATAACTAACTCGTTTAATTAATAAATGTGATTAAGTTTTAGAAGAACGATATTGTACCTTGTCTAATATAGAATGACAAGTTCGAAATGTATGCAATAAGCATTTGTTATTTCGTCATTTTAATGTACCTATGTCATTTAACATATGTATTACAGTAGAAAATGGATAGATGGATAATATTATCGATGTTATGTAGTACAATAAACTACTGGATTGTCTTTCTTTTAAACATTACATATTAAATAAATTTCGGTACTATGTGGATGAACATTCCCTCATCCCAATTATAAACTATAAAACGCATCGTACTATATAAGACGAGGTATAATTTATATTCGCCAGTGCGTCTAAAGTGGTGTTCTTGCGTTTCTATTTGTAAAAACGATTAGTTAACGCCATAAAGACGCTGGTAATATGTTAGAATTGGCGCCATATCTCATCGTGATTCGAGACATGTATATGATAATAGTAGATGTAAAGAATAGTATAGAAGCCTATACGATGGGACAGGTTTTGATTTTCAAGTGATTATGATGGATCATCCATGTTTGAGTCTTTTCTTATAAGGATCTTATATGCAATTTGGATATAAGATAATTAAGTACAGTATATTTCTTCTTTCTAATTATTCCTTACTCTTTGCACTTTAACAACTTGTTGAATCTAATAACGTATGTTTAAAATTTTTAGACATTTTGTAGTGACTGCATTTAAAAAGGATAGTTTGTACTTTTTTTACCCGAAATGAAAATTATTTACATAATCATAAATAAATGATACACACATTTTTACTCACTTCATGTAGTTTACGCGAGTAGTAGACATTTAAATAAAACACTTGAAACGGTTTAAAATGCGCAATTATTAGTTAAACTAATACATTTATTATCAGGCTCTTATTTAAATCTTTTTCGTCGAAACTGTCGTGAAAAATATTTTGAACTACTATGAACTATTATCTCAAGTATTCTGCAGTAACTTTATAAATAAAAATATTGTTTAATGGGGAACAAACTAAAAGGAATGCGTTTTATGTTTGCAAGCAATTCAGTTCATGGCTGTATGAATTTCTGTAACTAAACTAACTAACTTTAAAAGCACTTATTTTTATTATATTGTCCTTTAACGTTAGGCTAACAAAATGTATCGTCGAGGACGACGCTCTTTTAAGCACGGGGCACTACACTTACTGGCCTGCCACCAAAATTAATGTAGAAAAAATACAAAATTATTAAGAATTTATTTAACTCGAGATTCGAGATCGTGCTAACAGTCGAGTTTTCTACCCACTAGACAGGTCATTTAGCTAAACCTTAAACCTAGATGTAATGAGTGTGCAAGGAAAGTAATACACATTTTTTTTGTAAAAAAGTAAACGTTTGGCTAACTTCACCTGTTAAGTTAAGTAAGCCTACGTAAGTAAGTTGTACCTATTAATATTTAAATACTTTATATTACCGATATACATTTAAATAAAACACTTAACGTTTAAAGCATATATTAGTTAAACTTATTTAAAATATTTTTAACTTCATTATTTCAGCACTTAG